TATATATATATGGAAAAAGTTTATATAAGGATGCTACCTTATAATGTAGAGCTACGGATGCCCCACAAGAATCCATCGGAAAAGATAGTTTTAATGTTGAAAAATCCTTTGATTGATCATCTCGACATCGAGATGTATGACTATGAAAAATAAAAAGATTTTAAGTCTCAGAAATAGTGCATTTTACAACATATTATCTTCACCGTCCATTTTCAAGATTTTCATGTCTATAGATCTACTTGATTTTAACCATTTTTGAAATTTAAAATTTTATAATTAGATATAAAAATAGATTTTGAGATAATCCTAATAACATTTTACATCATAATTATATACCTTGATAAATTTGAAGGGCACCGTACCTCTACACCTACGGAGGTGTTCGTATGGAAACTGCTATATATGTATAAACTGAAACAACAGGAAAAAAACAGAATATATGAAGGAAAATATACCATCTGCAACCTGTTTATGGTGGTGGTATCATTCTAAACAACCAGCGCATCCACCTTCCATTCTCAATGACAGACAGTATGCATTAACTGTAACCTGGTGAACAGGAACTGTGGTTAATGTCCATCGCCTGTTGTTGGACCTGACATTGAATGCCTTGGCTTTGTACCATAACCATAACCATATGCAGGCTGTCTATGATAATTTCTCCCTTAACATAAATGAGTAAAATATCTGCATTCTCTTTATCTGGAAATGTATTGCTATTTGCAGATATGCCCTTCACTTCTCAGTAAGAAGGATCGTGGACGACCTTCTGATTCAAAAGCAAAGCCAAAAGCCTATGGTGAGGCCAGTGTGAACAGCAATGTGCCTGGTGCTGAGCTATTATTGGAACATGCAAATGCCTCTAATTTTAGTGATGGTGATGATGATGAAGTAGATGAATTGGCTACCAATGTCTCAGACTCTGATAGACATGATTCCTCTGAGGAAAGCGCAGGGGCAGAGGAAAATGATTATAGGTCGGATGAAGAAGATGAAGGTAGTGAGGAAAGTGGAGAAGATGATGGTGTAGCTCTTGAAGAAGATGATGAAGATGGCTTGGAGAGTGAGGATGAAATAGAGTCGGTTAGAGGAGATTCTATATCTGGAGATGAAGAGGATGAGAATAAAGAAGAAGAGGAAGAACCAAGTGCACAGAAGAAAGAAGAAGAGGAGAAATCAAGTTCAGAGAAGAGAGGAGGAAAAAAAGAAGAGGGAGAAACCAATGTAAGGAAGAGAAAGAGATTTGATCCTAGTGATCAAAAGCCGAGTGCAGCAACAAGCCTGAGGGCTCTGAAGAGACTTGCTGTGGAGAAGATGGGGACTGTTTCTTCAGTTTTAACAGACGGTATTCTGTCCAATGAAGATTTCCAGTTGATCAAGGAGCTTAAGGTACACACTACTGTTGAAGCTTGCATGGGTCAAATCCAAAGTTTATACTCTTGATTTCAATACAAAGGAAAACGTGAAATTCAATTGGCTTGGCAGAATTTTTATACAAATGCTCTGTAAAATAGACACCACTTAAAAACCACGCTGAAAGATATTTTGTTCTTTTTGGTGATTTCTATTGGGTCTTGCCAAGATTTAGTGAGATCATATTTTTTTGGATATTGAACTGGATTTCCTTCCAAAATCCCAGATATTTATAATCTTCCAAGGATTTATTATGGACTTCAAGAGTTGAACTGAAGTAAAACATCCAAAACCTGAGTTTATGAACAACTAAAAACTTAAATAACCAGAAAAACTTAAATAACCAGAAACCATAAGGTATGAATCAAAGTCAAGCCATTAAACTCTAAAATTTGTAAAATATTGAATGCATGGTGGTGCCACAAATCTCTAACCATGTAAGGTTAGAGTTTGAACCTAGACCTCAATAGAGATGCTCACTGGGAACAGCTAAAGCCTGATGACTTTAGAACTGACTTCATATGTCATAAATTTCTAGCATGACAGCATGACTTTCGAATTTGCTTGAGTATTCTTTTGGATTTCTATTAGGCGAAGAAAGAAGCAAAGACAGCATTGGCAGTGCATGGTCTATTGAAAGGTAATTCAAGTGCAAAAACAACTAGTCTGAAAGTACCAGATTCTGAGGAGCTGAGCACCAAGCGTGTGGACCCTGCCAAACTTGAGGCATGTCTAATTTTTTTGCAAACTAGAAATAAGATTGTCATTTACACAGCCTCTCTGGCTCTCTTTGGGATACTTTTGTATTAATATGTTCTCTTTTTAATATTATAAAGATTCATATACGAAGAAGATTAACAAAGGATGAGAGGCTGGCATTGGTGAAAGCGGGACGGGAGGAAAGGGGAAAGTACTCTGCCCGCACTGCTGTTAAGCAGAAAAAGGTTTGTCCGCTCTCCCTGGATATAAATTTTATATGTTCACGTGATATGAGTTTTACTAAGTTATTTGCTTTCCAGTATGTGAATTGTAAGGGATTCCTCTTCCTTTATTTGTTTTCCAAGAAATGATACTTCTTTTAGAAGTTAACAGTTTGAAGTTTCTAATTGACTAAAATTTATTTATATAGGATTTTATTTTTGTTTGTTGGTTATTATCTGACAGTAACAACCTTGAAAATACTGTTTCTTAGTTGTAGACTTTGTTAAAGAAAAAATTCATTAAATGACTCCCATCTCTTAGCAGATGAACTCTTTTATTGGGAATAAATTTTGTCATTTGTGACGGGTACAATACATGATGCAAATTTATTCAAATGACGTTGAGCATGTTTTAAGCAGTGGCATGCCAATTTCACCTTATGAATGGTACTATGATTGTAACAGAAGAGTCCATAACAACGGGCAATCAATAAAATGACTGGAAGTGATTACTCAAAAAAACTGACCATGAGTGCTCAATCCTCCTAGTAGATGGCACTTTTCAGTGGGAAACTGTGAATTGAATTGGACTAGTGTTTTTGTGTACAATACAAATTTATGCAGAACATAGTATTTGTTAAACAGCGCCAATTTGAACTTCACCTAATAAATGTTGTTTTCTGTATGTATAATATGCTTATGCCTCTGCATAGGTTCCCTTCTTCCCCTCTCAGCTGTGGGACTCTTAACATTACCTAAGAAGTGTTCTTGTGTTTTAATTCTCTCACTAGAAACTTATATTGTGACCTCACATTGACGAAATTAACCCGAGCAAATCTCACTGACTGAAAGGGTTTCTATATCATATCAGATACTGTTCTAACCTTAAACAGTATTTTGAGAGCATTGAGGGCAGAGAAGCCTTTGTGCACATGCATGCTTGTGCATGCATGCATCTGTATGTGTGTGTGTGTGTGTTGACAGGGAGTTAACTGTTGTGCTGTTTACAGACTGGTGGTTCGAGTAACCGGTACAAGGAACACAAGAAGGCAATGCCAATCGCTGCCAAGAGATCGAAGATAGCACGATCCCGGCAAGAGAAGAAGCAGAAGCAACGGAGAGCTGGAAAACAATTTAGGGGAAGGAAGGCTTGGAAGTAGACATTGCTTGTAAAAAAGGCATCGGTTCGATGAAAATTTTGAAAACCATGTTTTTAGTTTGAAGGCATAATTTCATTTAAAATTTTGAATCATGTGTTTGGTTTAAATGCGGGTCTTTGATATAAATTTTCCTGGTTCTAATATAGAGTTCTCTGTAATTTAAAAAAAAGATTGGAACCCCATCAAATTGGGGGATTTGATGAGGTATTTAGTTATTTGATAGGAAGTTGATTTTGTCCTCTCATTTCTACGTGTAGCGAAATGTGAAACAACAATTTTTAGAAATATGATCACAGAACAGAGCTAAGAGTTTTAGAGGGACTTATTGGACAGAGGGACTTGAGTACCAAACACTTGGAAAAGGTTGGAGGCATGGTGGGGATTTTGGGCAGGTATAGGATCTCGCCATCATCAGTGTAACTCTGATTAACTATAGGTCTAATTATTGGAATAGGGACAAATGGAAGTTTAACTCCTAAAAAGGCACTTTACGAAGTTTCCCGTAATTTGATCGATTTATTTATTCTTTTTCTACATGCGGAGGAGCGGGACTTCCACTTAGATGACGATCAAAACATATTTACTGCACCTTTTTTCCCCTTTCATGAGGGGTTGGCTTATATAGGGATAGGGGAAAGCGAAAAAAGAATTGCATTGAAACGTATTCTTATTGACCAATTAGAATTATCTCCCAGGACCTATAACTGCCTCAAAAGGTCCAATATCCATATATTATTGGACCTTTTGAGTAAGAGTCAAGAAGATCTTAGGAAAATTCAACATTTTCGTGCAGAGGATGTCAAAGGTATTGGACATTCTCAAAAAACGTTTTGCATTATGCTTTGGGTTGCAAATGAGAACTGTCAGAAAATACAAATTCTCATGTTAGAAAACTCTCAAATTCATTATTTCAGCTATGGCAATCATAAATTTGAAAATTTAGATTTCAATGACGTGCCGGAAAACTTTAAATTGATTATTTCAGCCGCGACAATCATAAATCTGAAAATTTAGATTTCTATCAATGAAAATGGTGTGATACGTTATCAGCTATTTTAAGCGTTTATAGATTGTGTGATTTGTACCTTCTTAAGGGCTTCAAATTTCATAATCATAGGTGCAAATAGATTCTGAGATTATCACACGAGTATTTGGCATTGGAAGTTGGAACTGCATTTTTTGATGAGTTTTTGAGGTGTGGCATTACCCTTTGACGTAAAGCCTCGGCCTTTTGCTATTTGCATCTTTTTGTAATTATGGAGATTAAGAAGAAATTGGTGATACCTTTCAAGGCCACATTGAGTCTCGATGCACAAAACGCATATGAATTCAATAATTTGTTGTTTGCTGTTTTTGTTTTAGTATTTGATGCTATTCTTAAATCTCTAGAAACTTTATTAGACCTGGGTGATAGTTTTGTTGCTACAGACATACTGTTACAACATCCGCATGACTCTCTCTCAGTGAAACCGTTTTTTTGGTTTTTTTTTTTTGGGTAATTCAGTGGGAAAGACTGTCCTTCCCTTTTTCTTTCAAGTAGATTAGGAGTTAGCTTTTTGAAAGTATTAGTGGGGTAATGTTTAGCGGGGTGATGTTAGTGGTGGAAATGGAAACCACATAGTGACTAGGATGTGGGGTGTTACCACCACGACCCAGCCCCAGCCCCTTTCCTAATAAAACTGTAATAATGCTTGGGGCTGCAAATGGACGAGGTTTCTATGAGTCTATGTAAAAATGAGTCACCTCTTAAACATCGATTTTTGGGATGGATTCTTGGATCTAATTTTCAAGGACATGTAATCTCTAACATGGAGATTATGAATATGAAAAATAAAATAATTTTTGAAAATTAAAACAAATAATTCTATTAATAAAACAATGGGATCATTAGTTTCAATTGTTTTTAGATGGACCACCCATTTGCATCCATCTTTAAGATGGATGCTTTATACCATGGGGACACCATAAATCCGGAATGTCGTCTCTGCCGCATGAAATAATTTTCCTTCTCATATTGCATTATTCTATCATTTTGAAGCAACCGCGTATTCCATAATCCAAATGTATGAACTAGCATCCAAATATGAAGCAGTTTCTATCGAGCCTAGGTTTTATGAAAACAAAGTAATGCCTCAATCATCTAGAAAGCACTTTGAGCATCTAAAATCTCCATGACAGTCTAAAACCAATTTCAACATTGATTATAAATGGCCAAAATATCTTTAAATTTATTTTGAGCAATATATTTCATTCAATATAATGTTTATTTATTTTTACTCAATGCTAATTATAAAAGTGAAGCACATAACCAAATTTCATATTTATGTCCTTTGTAGATAAAAATTAAAAATGGAAAAATGAAATTCAATTTTAACCCTTTGATGTGGGTAGTTCAATCTGAGCCATTAAGAGGTGCTTGTGCACCCTGTGGCCATCCACAGCCTATTGTAATGATTTACGAAGTGTTTCAAATTCTAAAACCTTGAAGCGGAGATGAAATTGTAAACTCTTCTTCACTCAGTACCCTTAGATCTCGAAGTTGGATTGGATCAATGGTTGTGGACTCAAGGGAACCATTATAAATATTTCTACAAGATTATTCCCCATCTGGTTTGTTATATGCTTTCTCAAACAACGAGAAAACGATTCATTGAGACCTGTTAACTTGTGGCAACCCAATCTCTACCATCGCTGGTTTGTTATATGCTTTCTCAAACAACGAGAAAACGATTCATTGAGACCTGTTAACTTGTGGCAACCCAATCTCTACCATCGGAGGTAACAGTGGTGCTATTGTCCATGGACCATAAGTATGGATTATGTCCACCGTTGGTGGTATGTCATTGACAGTGGAGATCAAATCCTTTGCCCATTACCCTCTTGACAAATATGTCTAGAGCTGGCAACGGGTCGGGCCAGCCCTGGCCACACCCGCCCGGCCCTATGCTTATTAGGGGACTAGATAGAATTAAAGAAAAAGTAATAATAAGAGAGAAAGTAGCCGAACTAAGCTGACCATATTGTGGCCTTGTGCTAGGCCCGGCCCCCAGGCCACGTTTTGTGGCCCAACCCTAGTTTTTTAGGGCTAGGCTGGGCCATCGGACCCATTGTCACCCCTAAATATATCAATAGGTTCAAGCAGTATTTTTGTATTAAGTCGTGTCCACTCCGACTTGGTCCAATAGCAGGGGTGGCCCTATTGGAGAGGAGTTATTGTGCCCAACTCGCCGGCCACCAAAAAAAACTACTAAAATATATATAAAAATGTAAAAAATACAAAACATTTGGAACGCGCCATTTTATAAGTTAGGAATATGTTTTAAGATGATGTTAATAGCTTTTAAGACGATTTAGAACACCTTCATGTTTTTCAATGTATAAATCAATTTTTTCAATAATCTTTCTTGTATAAACTTTTTCATGGGCTTGAGTTGTCATGGTAGTACTCCATACTCTAGTTACCATATTGTGGTTTTTATTCCTACCACTAACATTATTTGACTAATTCTTTCAAAAAGCTAACTCCTAATATAGTTGAAAACATGGGTAGGGGCCTATTTTTTTCACTGAATTACCTAAAAAAAAAGATAAAAACTCTCGATGATATTAAACCATTTTGTATTTTTTTTGTCTGTTTCTACATCTTGTAAGGTGTATAACCCAACTAAGAGTTAGTCACCTCAGCAAAGGGCCAAGTGACCTTGGCTTAGGTGATCTAAAAGGGTATATATACTATAAGGCTATTCACTTTTGAAATAAGGTTATTAATCCAACAAATTGCAATGTGTCACAACGTTCAAGAAATTCCATCATCCACTAAATTTCATATCCAATGGTCAATAATTTGTGACTTTCTTGTATTAAAAACAAGAGATTATTTACAAAGAGGCCATTTATCTTTTGTACATGAATGTCACAATCATTCTCACTCATTAGACGTCAAATTGGTTGGCTTGAGGTGAGTCGCGAACTTCAAGAATTTTTTTATTTATTTTAACTTTGTATATTCAATGACATTCTTACAACCACCAATTTTAAAATTTAAGGGACAAGAACAATTATTACTTCCTATATAAAAGATAAATGGTTTCTTTGTAAACAACCCCTAAAAATAAATAGTCTGTCATTATACATTTCCAAGTTTGAAAACATTGGGTTATAGATTTGTGTTTGAGTGAGACTTGCATAGGAGTGTGTTTCTAGAACAGTGTTCCAAAACTCGGACAAACCAACTCGGACTCCCCGGTTTGGGTGGTAACCTTAAAATGTAGAATTAAAGGTACACCTCAAAAATCCATCATAAAAGGTTGTTTGGATGTTGGAAAATCCTCTAATTGATAAATTTGACATCGAGATGTATAAATTTGAAAAGATAAAAAGATTTTGAGTCCAAATAGTGTATCTTGCAACACATTATCTAGGTCGTCAATTTTCAAGATTTTCATGTGTTTATAGATCTACTTGATTTGAACCATGTTTAGAGTTTAAAATTTTGTAATTAGAGGAAAAATAGATTCTCAAGCCATGTTAAGAATTTTTTTGTAGGGTTTATGTGACCTTTAAAGGCCTTATGAGTACTTGTAAAATGAAATGATATAGTGGAACATGAATTCAGTGGGAGTGTGGTCCCTCGTGGACCATACTAAGCAAACGATGATTTGCTGATACCGACCTGTGTTTAACAATTTAGCCCAGTCGGTTGGGAAAAACCCATGTTACCTGCGCATGAAGAACAAACCGATGAGAGTTTATGTGTTAGTCCTTGATGAGGTCGGAGAACAGACCCGGCTGAGTGAGCCGAGGGACTATGTGACCCTTGTGTGTGATGATGGCATTTAGAGATACGGGCCAAAACCTCATCCATGTACCATCACACGGTATGCATATCGATAGATCATTTGAGAAAGCCATAAATCCACATTTTAGGGTGAAGCGTATGTATGTTCGAGAGATGCCCCTATGCGCTATAGAGCTGTGGTCGCATAACATCTTGATGACCTTGACTTGTCTCTAAGGGAAGACCTGTAATCCACAGATAGGGATTACGTTCCCTAGGCTCATCCGCCAGACTTTGGTGACCCGCTAATGAGCCCCTGCTTGGACTGTGGGTCATGGAAAACACTGGATCGGTTCGAT